GTCTCTGCCTGCAGGAGAGAAGACAGGCCCCCGTCATTCGAGGCATGTACACGGTTAGACGTGCAAGCGGTGCACGCCTGCTTTGTGGCTCGCATCACGTACTCGTACTGTATCTTGAGCCAATGATTGGAAGTTGTCCACCTTTCGCGTCATATCGTTGATACTGGCCCTCACTGCTCCTTCTGCGCTTTGCGATTGCGTTACGGTTGAAATCACCAAATCTCGCATAGCCTCGCAGATGGCGGTCTGGCACTACTTCATCGCCTCTGGGGAGCCACTGCTACTGCGCGGAGCATTCTTACGAGCAGCTGTCTGGTTGTACTCCGGACTCGTAAGCCAGAGCTGTTCCATTGACACTGCCAGGGTTTCGTGGACTCTTGTCATCATATCACGGCTCCAAGCCGCAACCTGCTGTTCTCGTCTGATCTCAAATCGTTCTCCACATGGCAGTGTTATCCTGAAATCATGTGGTTTGCAATTACGGCTCCGTACTTTGTGCAGATACTGCTGCTACTCTCTTTGACGGATTCAGGCCGAGTTGGAGTGTTAACATGCGGACCCATGTAACTACATGCATGCTTCACGCATGCTCCCGGTGCGACTGAGGCCCGTGGGGGTATCCAGCCTCAAGTGCCATGGCATCTTTGTGCTTTTGCACGCGAAGCGAATGGTACGAATGGTACAAGGACAGTGAGCGAGCTCTTACCGCAGACTCCGACTCCAATGCGGCGGCGGTGGCGCCTTGTGAATCGCCTCTCAAGGAACATGTTGGTCTCGATATATGAGACTGACGTTTTGTTTATTGACTTGTGTTGCAGATTCAGGTTCGGGGCCCCAGAATACCATTCGTACTGTACGCAGTACCTACGAGCATCTACGCTGGACAAAGGAGTTTTGATAACTACCAAATGCAACAGTCGGCTGACATGTCCCCGCCTCAGCTACTCCCCTTGTCTCCTTGGCTCTAAGCCCGAGGTAGCGGTGAGTCGGTGAGCTTCGAGAAGCAAGTTGCCCACAGAGTGGTCTCTGGACACGCGAGTGAGTTGGCATGTCTGACAAGGCACATGATACGCGGCTACCGTACTGTCCCAGTCCCCTCCGATACTGCAGACATGTGTGCTGGCCGCTCGAACTGCGCAGCTTCAGCACTGGCACATAGTTGTATGGTTGTTTTAATTGAACACAGCGTCACCCCCTGAAGGTGAGGGAGTGTATGGACATTCGATATCGCTCTGCTGATACTATGACAGCGGCTTTCGACTGAGTTTAAGTTATCGACTCAGTACTTCGTAGGGAACACAGAACCCCTTGTTCAAACCAGCTCGCAATCCATATACGGAGCGAGTAGAAATTCTCCGTACCACATGAACCGAGACACCAATTGTATCAAGTGCGCTACTATTGGAAGGTTGAAGTTGAATAGATGTTCGTGAGTCTCCAGCTCTCTTACAAGAGCCTGCTCCTGTCCCGGATATGTGTCGTTGGACGACTAAGCAACAGGGCTGCCCTTGCAACGAGACGCTAACATGCGCAGATCTCTACGTACGAGTACTCGTACGCGCGTGGAACCCCTTTCAGTCAACACTTGTCTAAAAGTACGGAGTACGAGTATCGTGCTGTGGAAAACTGCATCCCCTGCCACAGAGCAAGCGGCCCGGACGCATTGGGCTACACCCTCAAGACCCTCTGCAGCACGCCCACTGTACCCGTCAAGAGGCATCCCTTCTTGCATCCGAGACTCCCTGCTCACCTTCATGGGGAGGTAAGACGGCCAGCACGGCTGCAGCCGCGCGTATGTCGTCTTGACCAGGGCATCGTCCGCCACGGTACAGTGGAGAGAGAAGCGTGCACTCTCGCCACAAGAAGTTAGCCTGCTTGCAAGGTGTTGAGTCTCACTTCGACGTTGGTTTCGCAGCTCGCTCGCGATTGCCAGCTGTACCTGTACAGGCCTGCACGGCAGAACCTGATGGTATGCTTATACAGGTACGAGCATGACAAACTTGGTGGCATGGTGTGCATCCAAGCTTGTTCCACCTTTTCCGTCCTTTCTTTTTCCTTCTTGTCGATGTCTTAGCGGCGTTCGATAGCTCGACGAGTAGTTGCCAACAGCTCTGAACATGATAGTAGCACTACTACAAGACTACATATATGGCCGGGTACTACAAGTACCTCCAAGCATTATGCATGGACGAGCAAATGCAACAGCCCGCCGATCTTCGTTACTCATGTCAAGTACAGGTACACATGACCATGGCTGTCCAGGTAAGGTAGGTAGTCAAAGTGGGAAACTTTGGCGTTCTGGAGTGGCTTACACCGGCAAACCAGCCAAGTACTACGAGTACTACGAGCTGATACCCACCGACAGCAATATCAAACTCAAAACGTCTTCATCTCGTCCATCACGGCGGGCTTGGACCCCC